TAGTGAAGTGAAAAAGTAGTGATTTGCTAAGGAGACTGTGCAGCAGATGAAAGACGTCATGCTTAATTCTCTCTGAAATCAGATGTCTTGCACCCTTCAACTGTCTGGAGACATCTGACCAAAAGTAGTTCATGAAACAAGTGGGGTAAAAAAAAAAAAACTAAATTAAACAGCCAAACTTGGAAATAAGGGCAAGCAACCTCATGATTCATAAAAACATAACTGGGACAAAGAAAGGAGCAGGTGCTTTGGACCAGTGGGTCAAAAATAGAAACCCTGAAAGGTTGGAGAGTCTGCAGGCTACATGTCTGGAGCTCATTTCTGCAAACACAGTTGGAGATTTTGATGAAGATTAATATTGTCCTTAATATAAGTAGATCCTCGTCCATCATGAAATACCATCAAGAAGGTGATCGATTTTCTAAAAATGTCTTCTATATTAGGACCATGTCCCCCCAAAACACACCGTTAGAACCATCTTCAGTGTAAAGAACAATAAAAAGTCCTGGTGTTAGGGCTCACACAAATTCCTGATCTACACAAAGAAGTTTGAGTTCCTGCAAAATTTAGAAGCGTTTCAAGAATTGATGGCAAAGTGTGGTCACACCAAATGTTCTCTCCTCTTTGCATTATTGGATAAACTAGAGCTTGTGGATGTATACTGTATGAGATCATAATAGCAAAAGGCAACATGAGAACAAGAAATGGGTTTGAATCCTCCATCTCTAACTAGGCCTGTCACGATAACAAATTTTGCTGGGCGATTAATTGTCTGTCAGTTGAGGTGGCTCAGGCATTTGGTTAGGATGCCTCCTGGACGCCTCCAAGGTGAGGTGTTCTGGACATGTCCCACCAGGAGGAGACCCAGAGGAAGACCCAGGACATGCTGGAGGGACTATGTTTCTCGGCTGGCCTGGGAACACCTTGAGATTCCCCTGGAGTAACTGGCCCAAGTGGTGAAAGTCTGGGCCTCCCTACTTAGGCTGCTTCCCCCGTGAGCCGACCCCAGGTAAGTGGAAGAAAATGGATGGATGAATGAATTAACTGTCTCAGAAATTATTGCGATAAACAATAATATTGTTTGAAATTTGACAATAATTAGTAATTATTGTCAAATTTAAGAAGAAATGTTGGTTAATTTGTTTTGAGTGTAGTACCTTTTTTGACCACTGGATGGCAGTATAAGACTGTTTGAACCAAAGGATGGATAGTGAGGGAGCGAGCAGCGTGTCTCTTTAAGAAAAATGGGAGGGAGGCCCGTTGACATGACATGGGCCGTCTCTCCTTCCTTCCCAAAATGGTGGACGCTTGATGTGGTTTGAGCTCTCTAGCATTTGCCACACAAAGCTTTTAATTAAAAATCAGTGAACAAGTTCTCAGCTTCTTTTTGCAGAGAAAAACAACTTTTTACATGACGGCACGAGTTTCAATCGTGAATTTTGGAGCTTTGACAAGACAGGTTTTTTCCCCCCGCCGAGGTTGACCTGTTAGCTTAGCTCGTAGCTTAGCTGCTTTTAACGATCCAAAAACGTGGTTTTGGATGGTTAAAATGAATTTTAAAGAGAAATGACAAAGGGCGAAATGACGAACACTGGAGTTAAGCCTTTTGTCATCCGGTGTCTTCAGTAAAGAGAGAGAGATGAAGAAACGATAATAAAGCCGATAAATGAAAATGAGGTTGATAATTATTTATCATGCGATTAATCGATTTATTGTTTATCACGACAGGCCTATCTCTAACAAGTAAATGCGTTATTGATGCAGCATGAACTTCATCCATTCTCTAAATCTCCAATTCGAGCTCCAACTTCTATCAAACCTTCTAATGTGTCTGCAGCCAGGCTCTTTCCTGCCAGCTGCAGCATCACCTCCAGGAAAACTGTCCCAGAGAACACGACTGAAGGGAGCTGTGCTTTTAGACTCTATAAGGTGAGTGACGGAGCTCATGATTGTTCTGTGTGTGTGTGTGTGTGTGTGTGTGTGTGTGTGTGCGTGTCCATTAATGGCAGAGGGAGGACTACGAACATCACAGCAAACCTGTACCTCAATAACGACAGTATTCCCTGCCAGCAGTGAGAGCGTAGAAAACAAATGTGCTTTCCGACCGGTAAATGAGTGTGTTTGTGTGAGTGTGTTTAGCAGCCTGTGGTCCCGGCCGGTGCAAACAAACCTCAGGCAGCAGAGAGCGTGCTCAGAAAGGTTCAGATAGACATCAAAGACAGAGGAAACGAGGAAGGAAGGATGGAAAGTAGGAAGCATTAATATTCTACGAGCACAGGTTAATACCAAAGATAATATTGCATCTTCTAGAACTAGCTTCAATTGCTCAGTGTATATAAAACTGGAAGAAAGCTATGCTGTGATAATACAGTTACATCTAACTTTATAATTCTAAAATATTTTATAACAATAATTATACTTTTTAGAGTATTTACATAAATACATCATTATATAGTGATATTACCGTCAACACATTGTTATAGAAATACACCGTACTTATATGTGTATATAATCATGTTATAACCACACATACACAACAAATATACAATCAGAATCAGCTATTGCGACGCCGATTTGAGTAAACCTCCGTCGAACATTCAGTAGGTAAGCCCAAAGAGACGAGTTCAGGTGTATTGCTATAAGAACGGACCGACGTTCATCTCATTCCTCGCGCAGTCCCAGCTGAACGTTTCTCATAAAATCCAAGTATTGCTTTGTGTAAAATCGCTCTCCTCTGAGGAGGAAAAAAATCAAGTTGAGGGAAGAGAAAGCAGAAAAGTTCAGTGGCTCTCGGTCAGCAGGTGAGAGTTTCTCCGCTCTAATCCAAGAGAAACCGTGAGCAAATCCATCAGCCGGGGTAGAAAGGTAGCCCCTGGTTGCAGACGGCCGCCCACACAGGTGAGCAGGTGTGTGTTTGTGTAGACAGGTAAAGAGTGAAAAGTGTGTCCCAGCAGCGTCCTGCCTTTAGAAGTCAGAGAAGAGATCCTGCGGACCCAGATGGATGATAAAAGGAGCGATGGTGCGCGGCTGGTAGAAAGGATTGTCGATGAACAGACCACCTGCAGGGAGGAAGAGCAGACGGAACGATGAAGATTAGCTTCAAATCCAAAGATTATTTAAATTATAAACTCATTTGAAGCTAACTTGAATGGCATTTGTTCCTAAGCAACATTCATCTGTTTTTAGGTAAAACACCAGGAAATAATCCCAGCTATGACTAAATAATTATTAGTTGTATTTCATAAATTCTTTATGTACATTTTCCTCTAAAGATGACTTGATTACATGAAAAGCATGAACTTTTACAAGTATTGCAAGTTCATATTATATATATATAACAATCAAGAGATCACCTGTGCATTATGAAGTGTCATATTTTTTTTTTTTTACAACAAATAATTTTATATCTGGGCTCTTTGTTCATCACATTATGGAGATAAAATATCTTTAAAAGAAAACATTTTCCTGTTTATTGTCACGATTTTTGTCAGCAGCAACGCCTCGTTTCACCTGTGCGAGTGTTTTTAAAAATGCAAATTACAAGCTAATTCTGTTTTTTAATTATTTTTTTAGTTTTGTTTAGAAAATACAAAGCTGCAAAATGAAACCATTTCATTTACTTGTTTAATTTATTTTTTGTTCAAAATAAATATACGTTAACTCGTTGAACCAAGATAAAAGAAATTCCTTTATATTCATTTTGAAACTGAGTTTTTGCCATAAACTTTTAACTAACAAAAGACAAAAGACGGGGGAAGAAACTTTGCGTGAACATATTTTCTGCATTTAAAACAAAAAGAAGGGCGCAAAATAAAATCAGCACAAGGAACGTAAGCCGTCAGATTGTAGGAAACGTTAACGTGAAGACAAGTAAAACTTTGAAAAGATTTATTGGAGCTCAACCAACCATTGGACAAGACATTGGATCCTCTCATCCAATGGCTGCGTCTCATAGTCGTAACCATGGAGACGTCCTCAGAGGGTTGGCTCTCGCTGGCTGGATGGAAAGGATGAGGTGATGGACCAACATGCTGCGTCTCGACAGACACTGACCTCTGAATTTATCTTCAACATCAAATCTTATAAAATAAAAGCTCCTACTCGTACATTCTAGTAGAAATAAGAACATGAGGGAACACAACAGCAACGATGCTGAAAAAACTAAAACTGCTATATAAAAACACAGACAGCGACATGTGGGACTGTTCCCTGCTTCGTGCGTTGGCTTTATTTTAATTAGACAGATATATTCAAATAAACAGTTTAAATTTAGTACTGGAGTGTGCAGAAAGAAACAATAAGATGTCAACAAATACACTTTTTATACATTCGAAAATGAGTGTTCAGTGTAAAATTTGTACAGGAGCGTTTTAAATTCATCACTTGTCTTTTTTTTTTTTTTATCTAAATATCTGAGCTGCAGGTTAAAAGGATGAATGGAAACGTTTCCATTTGTGACTTTATGCTGGAGCTGCACGTTCATATACTCCTCCGTGGAAACATTTTGTTCATCGGATCAATCTCAGACTGTTCTGTAGAAAAATCTGCTCTATAAAGTATAAATTAAAGGATTTATCTGCATTAAGTTTCCCATCAGCTGAAAGCTGTTCAATCAGATATACATCAGGCAGCAGTCAGCTAAACTTTATTCATTTTTCAGCATTGTTGATTTATTTTTTCCACATCCTTCACACAGCTCACATTATTTGTCTCCACAGAAAATGTGTGTTATGTGATCTATTGCAAGGAATATCCTCATCTCAGCACAGAATGAACAAAACAATAAAACGCTCATATATAAGAGATATAATTTAGACTCAAAGACTGAGGTAACAATTCACAGTACAAATCCGTCAAGTTTTTTCTTCTTTGCTTATATTTTAGAACATAGACCTGCAGGTTTTAAGAAGTTTTTTTTTTTTTTTTTTACAGTAAGAAAAAAGTTACAAATCTCATTTACAAATCTTTTTTTTTCTCCATCATTTAAAGTGTAGAAAACAAAAGTACAAAAACAAACAGATTCCGTTGTAGAAAAATAAAATAACATAAAACAGCAGGTTGGGTTCGGGCTTGTGTGTCTCCTGTGCTAAAAGAAGTGGTAGTGGGGGACGGGGTAGGCGGGCACTTTCATGACAGGCAACAGAAGCATTCTCTTGGGCAAACCTAGAGGGGAGACATGAGAAGCTCTGCATGAGTGCCAGGCAACAACAAAAATAAAATAAAATAATAAAAACACCACGAGAGTCTTACCGCTCAGTGCAGCGCACACTATGTTCAACGACGTTGCTCGCAGCAGATAAGACCACCCCGAGGGGGGGTAAGGGTGTTAGAACAGGCAGAAACGTGAGGTGACGGAGCTCATTAGTGGTTAGACGAGCGAGAGGAAAGTTGAATGGAAGAAGCAGTGATTTAGAGCTACAGGCATAATAATAAATACATAATTTATTTTGTGACTAATTATCACTGATTTTTTTGAATATGATGAGAAAAAAAAAAGTTCTGAACAATCCAGCTGTTAAAACTCCTCACTGTGGTTTAAAAGTAAAACTGGGCTCATAAATGCAGAAATAGTTCTACAAACCGGATTCCAAAAAAGTTGGGACACTAAACAAATTGTGAATAAAAACTGAATGCAATGATGTGGAGGTGCCAACATCTAATATTTTATTCAGAATAGAACAGAAATCACAGATCAAAAGTTTAAACTGAGAGAATGTATCATTTTAAGGGAAAAATCTGTTGTTTCCAAATTTCATGGCGTCAAGAAATCCCCAAAAAAGTTGGGACAAGTCCATTTTTACCACTGTGTGGCATCCCCCCTTCTTCTTACAACACTCAACAGACATCTGGGGACAGAGGAGACCAGTTTCTCAAGTTTAGAAATAGGAATGCTCTCCCATTCATGTCTAATACAGGCCTCTAACTGTTCAATCGTCTTGGGCCTTCTTTGTTGCACCTTCCTCTTTATGATGCACCAAATGTTCTCTATAGGTGAAAGATCTGGACTGCAGGCTGGCCATTTCAGTACCTGGATCCTTCTCCTACGTAGCCATGATGTTGTGATTGCTGCAGAATGTGGTCTGGCATTATCGTGTTGAAAAATGCAGGGTCTTCCCTGAAAGAGATGACGTCTAGATGGGAGCATATGTTGTTCTAGAACCTGAACATAGTTCTCTGCATTAATGATGCCTTTCCAGACATGCAAGCTGCCCATGCCACAAGCGCTCATGCAGCCCCATACCATCAGTGATGCAGGCTTCTGAACGGAGCGTTGATAACAACTTGGGCTGTCCTTGTCCTCTCTGGTCCGGATGACATGGCGTCCCAGTGTTCCATAAAGAACTTCAAATCGTGACTCATCTGACCACAGAACAGTCTTCCATTTTGCCACACTCCATTTTAAATGACCCCTGGCCCAGTGCAAACGTCTGAGCTTGTGGAGCTTGCTTAGAAATGGCTTCCTCTTTGCACTGTAGAGTTTCAGCTGGCAACGGCGGATGGCACGGTGGATTGTGTTCACTGACAGTGCTTTCTGGAAGTATTCCTGAGCCCATTCTGTTATTTCCTTGACAGTGGCATTCCTGTTTGAGGTGCAGTGACGTTTAAGGGCCCGGAGATCACGAGCATCCAGTAGAGTTTTACGGCCTTGACCCTTACGCACAGCGATTGTTCCAGATTCTCTGAATCTTTTGATAATGTTATGCACGGTTGATGATAACTTAATGTTCATGTTTGTGGTGATGTTCAATGTTTTATGTTATGAGTGCTTAGTGTATATTTAGTTGATGTTTTTCTTAGTTCATATCTTAGATGTTATTACTGTTTTTCTTATACATTTTATTGTTGGATGTAACTGGGACCCTGTGTACATAATTTCGCTCCACCACATGTACCACATGAGGTGCGAATGACAATAAAGAAACTCTGACTCTGACTCTCTATTTTACGCTGGGTAACACCATTCTGGTATTGCTGCACTATCTTTCTGCGCAACAATGGTGGAATTGGTGATCCTCTTACCATCTTGGCTTCTGAGAGACACTGACACTCTGAGAAGCTCTTTTTATACCCAATCATATTGTCAATTAACCTGATTAGTGTTAATTGGTCTTCCAGCTGTTCGTTATATGCTCAATTTCCTTTTTCCAGCCACTTATTGCTACTTGTCCCAACTTTTTTGGGATTTGTTGACACTGTGAAATTTTGAATCAACATATTTTTCCTTTAAAATGTTACATTTACTCAGATTAAACTTTTGATCTGTCATCTATGTTATATTACAAATAAAATATTGACATGTGCCATCTCCACATCATTGCATTCAGTTTTTATTCACAATTTGTTTAGTGTCCCAACTTTTTTGGAATCCGGTTTGTAGTATATAGATATATACCTATAAATTGGGGACTGCTTAGTAGTGTTGTAGTACTCAAGAACACTTTTTGAAGGTCTTGTCTCGAACTCAACCGCATTTGATCTTGAGGACTCGGGATTTTATTTCAAGACCAGTCAAGACCACAACTGTGGAAATATCAATAAATTGTCAGAATATTGTCCAGTTTTATTTGTTAACATCCTTGTTTTTATTGGATACAAAACGTACCAATTCAAATCCAAGCAATTATGTAACTCATTGATAAATACATGTTTTTTTTTATTACCGCTGTCACGCCCACCCCCTTTCGCATCACGCACGCATCACTCCCAGTGTTGCCAGATTGGGCGGTTTTCATTCTGATTTTGCTGGAAACTCTGGGAAGACTTTTGTTGGATTGTTGCGTTTTGCTACATATTGTTAAATTACCTTGGCTTGTACTGATGTGCGTTCATGTTCAAACAGTAAATATACTGTAACAATACATCGATTGGGTGGATTTGAGCGGAATGAAACTTTACTTTAAACTAATTTCTTTATGTAACTTTAGGTGTATATCTACTACTTTATTGAAACCACTCTGCAACTATATGGCTATCCTTAATCTTGAGTTTGGACTTATGAAGAGTGTTTTGCCGCTGCAGTTTTTAAGTCTTGGCATGTGACGAAACTGCTTCCAATTTAACAGTTGTGTAATTTTATTGTTGAATCACATGCAGTCAGAATGTCTGATTTCTTATGTAGCTTTGAAAATGTATAAAAGCTGATATATTCATTCAAAAGCAAACTTGAAGTATGTAATTTTTATAAAAAACATTTGATAATATTTTATTTTATTTTATTTAAGGTCTTGGTCTCGACTCGGTCTCGGACCCTAACAGTCTTGGTCTCGGGTTAGGTGGTCTTGACTACAACACTACTGCTTAGTATGAGGCAGCACCTATTATTATCCACCTAACAAAGGGTTTCTTAACTTTATATTTTACTCTTTTGTCAACTTTAATGCGGCCCCAACCGCAATATGTACCATGGTAAATGTTTTATCAGACTGGTTTGGGACCATGATGTGTGCTATTACTTTTATTGGCATTTCAAGATACCATGGCGATGTAATTTGCAAATAAAGCTAAAAGGGAAAATGGTAAATGATCTGTACTTATATAGCACTTTTCTATCTCATCAAGATACTCAAAGCACATTACATTCTGTGCCCTCATTTACTCATTCATACAGCACTCTACTATATCTACAAAGACTAATATGTGCTTTAGATCACATTCATACACCGAAGGGACACACATCGGAGGTAATGAGGGGTTCAGTGTCTTAATTGCACAGGGACACTTCGGCATGCGACTGCTGGTGGAATCGAACTGCCAACTCTTGCAATGGAGGACGACTGCTCTAACCACTCAGCCACAGCCGCCTCCAAAAATGCAGTAACTCAGATGTTTTTAGAGCTACTCAACTGAAATTGTATGTGTTGGTAACTGAGAACGATCTCTAATAGACCCTGACGGCAAATCAAAAATCCAAGATGGCCGTCTGAACTAAAAAGGAAAAATACAATAAATCAGCCTATTTTTGAGATATTCAGCTGGAATTTAGTGTGTTGGTAGCCGAGAGCAATGCCCATTTAAATATTGCATTAAAATCTAAAAATCCAAGATGGACACCTTAGCTACAAGGTTAAAAAAATATGATAACAGCTGTTTTTAGAGCTACTCAAATGAAATTTGGTATAGTGGTAGCTGAGAGCGAACCAAAACATATAGTACGGTCAAATCAAAAATTTGTCAAAGTTTCTCCATTAACTTTCTAGTTTTTTAATTATATCTATAGTAGCTTGTATGCATGCAGCCACTAAAAGTCCAACGTTAGACTTGATGCGTCTATTTAGATAAGTTTAACTTTTGAGGACTGGTTATTTAATGATTGTGCAGATTGTCAGTCAACCAGAATGTGGCAAATCCTGAGTTTCAAACAAAATTAAATCTTTTCTGTTTGGTGAAAACTTCTCGTCTGAGGAGCTTTTTCAACTCGATACAAAGCGTGGCGTTTCAACTTCTGTTTAGACGTTTTAGTAGAAGGGGCTCAATTCAAAAGCTTGAAACGTTGCACTTTTTGTTTGAATTGCCAAAACAAAAAGTCCAGTTGCTTTGTTTTAAACTCTCAGGGTTATCTAACGTTTCACAGATCTCCAACAATATTATAGTCTACAAAAAAGAACGTCAGAAAATGACCAAAAAAATTACAATTAAATTTAACTAAAATTTAAATGAAAGAATGATTTAAAGATGAAGAGTTTGTACTGTCATGTAGTGTAAACTATTTTAAAAGGGTGCCACTGAACGGACATTTATTTTTAAGTTATACTGTATTTATGAGCTTTAAGTCCAGATTATTTTAAGTTATTTGCCTTAAAAAAATCCCCAAAGCAAAGCAAAAATCATTAAAAAATAGAACAGGTTGAAATGAGTTTTCCAGAGATGCCATGTCATTGATCTTGTCTCGTTGAAATAAGGGGTGCACAATAAATCGGCCCCGATTTCCTTAATTTTGGGAGATTAAAGCTCGGCCGATACTTACACGAGAAACCAATTTTATTTATTTTTTTGTAGTTTTAACAACAATTGTCTGAACTTCGTTTATATTTCAGAGCACTACCTCATGGCCAGTTAAAACAAGTTTGGATTGTTTCTAGGATATTGTTCAATGGCATGTTTTTCAATAAAATAATGTTGGAAAATTGAAGGCGCATTGTGACCTTATAACTCCTGACAGTGTCGCTTATAAAACAAAATCGGTATCGGCAGGTCAGGCTTTTTAGAAATCAGTGATCAGCTAGAAAACTGCCATCGGTGCACCTCTAGTTGAAACTGAAGTGGTTTCATTTCAGATTTAAGGAAACTATTGAGACTATTTATTGCTTTATATAAATGCGATGTATTCAAGGTAAAATATGAGATGCAATGACATGCTTCGTCTATAGCAATGGAGAAATAAATGACAAAAAAAGGAAAGATTAAAATAAGGTGTGCTGCATGAATATGCCAGATTGCAGACTGTGTAAAAAATAAAAAATAAAAATTGTATTCCAGGAAAATCAGGAACGCCTCAAACTAAGATTACTTCCAGGTGAGATAAACACAAAAAACTGAGCAGCTCTTCATACTCAGAGCTGCTGGATTCTCGAGAGCATCTACTAAATGCCTGTTCGGGGCCTCCGTCCAGTTTCTCCAAGCACACAGGACCCTTTCAAACCCATGGACGTAGAGCGGACAGAGAGGCCACTGGACTCTTCGTGTGTACACAGCCTGAACAAGGTCGGGTCTGTTGAATTAAATACGACTGAGAAACTGAGAGGCAGATGGAGCAGACTTGGCTTTAATAACTACGCTGGTAAAGGTGAGGACTGGGAAATGATTCTGGCCTGTAAAAGTCTTCAATTTTTAAAGCTCAGTAAGGACATGGACAAGGACATAGAAGGAGCTAAGCTGCAAAGGTGATCTGTTAGTGAGCAGAAAAAGTGATGCAGAGATCGCTTTAGCTAATGAGTTGAACACGGCTGGTTTCTGCTCTTTTCTAGTTTCATTAAAGACAACGTAAAAAAACAGAAGGTTCAAGCTCAGATTAATTCGGGGCTTTAGACAGAAAGCAGTTCTAAAAATATGAATGTAAACCGTACAGCACAGATAAATCTGTGGCACACAGCCATAAAAAGTCAAAAAAGGAGTTTTCAAATTAGGGACTTCTGCAAAAAGCCGTAGAGAAGGGTTGGAGAGAGGGTGAAGTAAATTAGCTGCAGACTCAGTCTAACCAAGGACGGTTAGGACGAGTTGAAGGTTAAACATGGGAAACAAGAAGGTGAAAGGATGAGAGCAGAAGCACGTACCGTATGCAGGAGCGGCTGCTGCAGCTGGGCTGTAGCCGTACGGTGTACCGAAACCTGTTGGGAAGAGGTGACAGGGTCTAATTCAATCCTGTACGGGTTTGATTCCAGGTCACATCTGTCAGCATTTCAATATGAGTGTTTGGCAGGACTGAACTCTACAGACGCAGCCAGATGTGGCTTCAGAATAAGCTACTTGATATTAGCACCAACTAAAACAAGCTACACGTAGAACATAAGCAAAATGAGGGAGAATAAAATGAGGTCTTATTAGTGTTGACATACATGAGCTGCAGGATATCGGTGATATTTCCAACCCAGCTACAGACAGAACAGATGTTTATTTGCTACAGAGTAATGAGTAAGCAGCCTAAATCCAAATGCATGGGAAAAATATACAAAAAAACAGCTACAATATATTAAATGTCATGTCTGGCAAAGTGGTGCCAAATATAAAAATGAACATAAAATGCTCCACTGAGCAGGAGTTTTGTTCCGATTGAGTTAAACTGGAAAAGGGTGAACCATCGCACGCAGCTCCAAGTGACTGAAGCACAATCAGCTGACAAACATCACATCATCTGCATAAAGAACTACTGCAGCTTAATTATATAAAGCACTTGTTTGTTTGGTTTACTTTGAACATGTTAACTATATACAGACAATCATTTTAAGCAGAAGTGAAACAAAAAAATATATAAAATAAAAAAGTGCACAAGGATCGTTCCACTTTTTGTTTAGCTCTTGTGCTGAAACAGAATGGGAAGAAGTACATACATATTTATTCCCACCCCTTCCCCATTAGTTATCATTAATTCAATCCCACATATATTTACTACCTGGCGTGATGTATCCAGGTGCAGCAGCACTGACGAAGGCTCCTCTTGCGAGTGCTGCTCTTCCTCTTCCTCTTGCGACCTGTGCTGCGACTGCTGAGGCTGCCGCCGCTGCAGCCAGAGCTCCTTTAGTCTGAGCACAGAAACACAGATTATTATACATGAGTGTGTCAAATGTTAAACAGATGGACACAGATACGTATAAAATAAAGACATAGCATTCTTTTAAAAAAAATGTCAAGAGTTGTAATCGTTTTGATGAAACCTTGGGGGAAAAAAAAGAAAAACCTGATGTCATGATATGAATGACTCTCAGTCACTAACATCAAATTTTAGTTCAATATCTGCAAAACTGGCTACAAAAAGGAGCTTGACCTGGAGTTTGCTGCTATTGTTTAGAATGAACACAATGCCATCAGTGTCTGGTATGTGGTATGTGTCTCATTACCTGAGGCAAGATCTTTTTCTTCTTGTTTGCAGCTGCGTTGGGACCAGAGAAGAGTTTTTCCAGAGCAGCTAGAGCAGCGCTGGCCTTTGCTACCTTTTTGTTGGGGCCTGCCCCACGAAACTTCTGCCCATCGACCTCCACCTTACACAAACAGAAAATGTTCACAATCAATACTAAAAAACAACAATATATATTGTTAATGAAATCCCAGTGTTACTTCAATGTGTTTTCAATTCAATTCAGTTCAATTCAATAATACTTTATTAATTCCAAAAGGAAATTAATTGTTGTAGGTCATCATCCTGATTGCACTAGAGTTGTTATAGATGCTTGATGGATTTGGGCAGGTAGGATCTCTTGTAGCAGTCCGTCCCACAGCAGATCCAAAGAAACTAGCTGCAGATGCTGATCCATCCACACAGACCCAACAGACCTCTCAGTCCTCTTGAGCAGTAAGACTGCCTGAATACCAGGCAGAATTCCCCCCCGAGTGATGGCCATTTCTCCCAGCAGCTGCCAAGTCCCTCATCACCACAGATTTAACTGCAGGTGCTGGGGAACGATTTCAGTCCTCCCGCTGTCAGGAGCCACGTAACCCGCTACCTCCAAGATCTCGGCGATCAGGCACTCGAACACCGCCACAAGGTAGACGAGAATGCATCCATGACACCTCCTTTTCAACTCATTTGTGTTTTGGGGCTGTAACTGAGGTATTATTTGAGCTTTTGATATGTTAATCAGCAGCTCCCAGTTGTATACAACTACCTTGTTGTTATGGTTACGCATCATAACAAATGTCCAAAAGTTTAAAAAAAAGGTTTCGGTTAAAAAAATCCTTCCAGTGGCACAGCATCTGATACCAGAGGAAGTAATTATCTGAAAAAATGGTGATTTACATCCAGAAAAAGAGGAATTAAAGTTTTCAAAAGCAAAATCTCAGAATGAATGTAAGAGAGCTACTCCAACATGCAGCCACCTTGAGCGGCGCAATTCTAGAAAATTATTTTTTATGCTTTCATACATTTAAGTTGCCGTCCCTTTAAATCGAACAATAAAGTTGCCTCAAACGTACATGCTTATCTGTCACCGGTGACTCAGGCAGAGATTCACTGAGCAGGACAGCTTGTTTAGTGATGCCCTGCTGTCGAGCAGACCTGCTAATCAATCAGCAGAGCGATGGAGCAGCCAGGCGTGTTGGAAAACAGCGCACCCCACAGAGAACAGGCCTGCCTCAGAAACCAAGCTGCCTGATTGACTCTGCTGGGTGATCAGCTTGGCTTTGATTGTATATTTTAGCCACTGTGTGTGTGCGTCTTGTGGCTTGAGAGTTTACATATAAGTCATGAAGGACACTGCAGATGTTTTAGTCTCACCTCCATGACAAAGCGTTTGTCGTGGCTGCCTCCGCTCTCGGAGATGAGCTCGTATTTGAGGCCCCGTCTCTTCTCATTCAACTCCATGACGGGATTCTTCCCACTCGCCGTCAGTATGGGGCCCTGAGTTCGCACCTGGAGGTGGAATAGTCATTTTACTTACTGGCACTTTGGTTCCCTTTTAGAAAACACACAGCTGATTGTAGAGCAGAACATGTAGTGTTGTTGGCAAGAAGAGGATGACGGTAAAGGCCTAGCAACGTTTTCAAAAGTTTATATGCTCTTCATGTATTTGTAAATGCAACACAAGAAGCAGGGAAATAATTCTAACAAATATTTTTATCAATAAAATTTATGTAATTAGAAATCCTGTTTAATTCCCCTTAAATTGCACCACATTTGTTAGGAAAATACATTTGTGGGTTAGGCAGCAGAGTTCAGTAGATTTGTTGTGACCATCACTGCCAGTAACAAACAACTTATTCTACTATTGACTTGTTTAGAGCTTTGTGGAAATCCCATATCTCCACAGTCTGGGATCAAACTGTTCTCCAAGATGACGTCGCTCACCCCCACAGAGCAAGGTTTATCAGGAGTGGACAGAATGGAATAGCCCGTCTGCAGTTCTGCCCTCAACCCTACTGAACACCTGTACGGTGCTGTTTGTTCCACAGTGAACAACACTGTCACATTAGTTGACTTGCGACAAATGCTGGTTGAAGAATGATGCTATTCCACAGTAGTGTGTGACCAAGCTGGTGAGGAGCATGAGGAAGAGGTGCCACGCTGTTGTGGCTGTGTAGGGTTCATCCACATGCTTCCGAGACGTCTGTTAAATTGTTAGACTGACAAAATATCTTATTTCTTCAGATTTCTATCATTTCAATACAATTAATGACAAGAGTCAATGGCAGAATAAGCTGTTTGGCAATAACAAAGAAGATCTGGCAAGCTTTTTATAGACATAACTCATGACTCTGCTGCTCAACTCAAAAATACTTTACCTAACAAACGTGAAAGTTAAAGTGAAACAAGCTTTTCAGCAGTATAACATTTATTGTCAAGAAGTGTTACAACAACAAAAAATAACACAAAGTTCCTTATTTATTGTGCCAAGTTGATAAAGCTTCTTAAAATCAACATTTTTTCTGACTTTATTTCTTAAATATATTCAGTAAAACCTGATTTCTGTCACAGATTAATAACATTTTTAGGCCTAAAAAATGCCAGTCTTGTTTTAGTATAAATGGATTATTAAGTGCCATCTAAAGATGAACATTTTCTCCTGGTTCGAGTGGAATAAGGCTCACTGTCTTTCAATAAGCAACGTTATCTTCATTTCTTTTATGAGTACTGCCAAAGTTTATTCTTTTTTATCTTGTTTTAGAATTTGATGCAACAGTCAAAGTAAGTCCTTCAAAATAAAATATAAAAATATAAATTTAGAAAATTATGAATAAATAAACAAGAGGCTCTTGCATATAAACCGCAGGGTACAAAGTGTGAGAAAAAAGTAGTGGCTTGTTAACTTTTTCAAGACACTTTACTTCCTCACACCAAAATCTAATCGTTTTAGGCACAAATATGCTGACATTTTAAAAGTTTAGCTTTGGTTTTGGCAAGTTATTTTTATTTTTCTGCAGTGTGTGCACTGGTTTCCAGGCTCTCACCTCCAGTGTGTTTGAACCATCTGACGAATGAGTTGGGTTATTGCTGGAGTGTGAAGACGTCTCACTCTTCCCCTCGCTGTCCGACTTCTCATCTGAGCTCATGGGGTCCAGATCTGAGTCGAAACCTGTTGGGTAACCCATCGCCTGGAGAACCTAGAAAGGAATGAATTAAACAAAACAAACAACAAAATACAATGAAATGTGGTTAAGAAAATAAAATGGTTTTAAAAAAAGTACCCGGTTTAATGAAATAATAAGTGCTAGATTTTAATTAACCAGTACATTTGAAAAATGAAAAACTGACCAAACTTTATTTACATTGAAGCTTGAAGGAGATTTTATTTTTGGGATGACATTTTAAAGACAAAAAGAATTTAGTGGAACGTCAGTATCACCCAACATAAAGTAGTTTAGAAGAAAAAAAAGTAACGGCAGACTCAAATAGATGATTGTGTCACAGCTGGTGAACTTTCTGGGTGAATGTGAGAAGAAAAGACGGATGAAAAGATGAGCAGTCAACAGAATTAAAGTGAGTGAGAAAAAGAAAAGAAAATGAGAAAAGACAGGAAGAAAGAGCCTTTTATAGGAATGGATGGCGGATTATCTTCGGTCTGTGGACTGGAGAGCCTCTTTGCTCCCAACCACTTTGGGATTACACAGACTTAACAACCTCCATCATTTCTCACAAAACACAAACAAGGAAGAAAAACATTTGTCGATACACACAGATGTGGCAGCAGCTGAAGTTCAAAAGGTTTAGCCAAACAATATAGATTTTAAGTGATTTGGTGACTAACTTCACTGGTTCATATAAAAAGTTTTCATATCCTCATTTTCAATATTTAAAAATACTAAAGAAACAACCCTAATTGTATTTTTCCTGATTAATCTTCCTCTTGTGTTTTTCTACATGAAGTCTCATGACAGTCTACAGTTGAGTAAAAATCAAGTCACATATGCAGTTAGGATGTTTTCTGTGTTAAAGACCAGTAAACTTGTCACAATAGAAAGAAGGTTGGATAAAGAGAAAGTATAGGCAGGTTAGCTAACTGCAACACAATACTGTTTCTTTTGGCTGCTTCCTCTTGCAGGGGTTGCCACAGGGAGTGAACTCACAAAAGATTTGGCAATTGTTCTGCACCAGCTGCCCTGCTGCAACACTTGACCACTGCTACCACAGCTGTTTTGAAAAGCAAATATTTTATTTATATCTAACTATATAATGTCATCATATAATATTGAATTATTCATATTAACTGTTTAAGGTTATATAGACCTACATATACAGTATAAGCATTTAAATAGTAGTAAATAGTGTAGTTTAGATGAGTTATCACAATGAAATGAGTTGACACAGACCAAGGCAAACAAAGTAGTAAATCTGACTGATAAAAATCTAAAGGTGGAATAAAAGTTTATATTAAACAAGATAATCTGAGAACATCAAAAAACAAAAGTGGTTCAGGAAACTTTGTCCATGAGTGTGAGCTTCTCTGTAACGTCCGTAACAACTCTCAGGAGGGTGAGGAGTGAGAATGATCTGTACGTGACTTTAGCTCACATAAACGATGCATCTCATCAAGTTTTAAGCTTGAAACTGTACCCTCTCCAGTTTTACAATGGAAAAGTTCCCTGAATGGGAAGTGAAACACCTTCAACTACATAACATAAGTCCAGTTATTTTGTTTATAAACTGCTGCGATTTGATTAGAAAGATGCTTCTGAAAAACCTTGTTAAGCTAGCACAATTCTGCAAAGATGAAGGATACATTTCTAAGGAAATGTATATTACCGTGTTTTTATTACTGCATTTTTTGGCCTATAAGTCACAGCTTTTTTACATAATTTGCATGCCCTGCGACTTATATGCCGAAATTATGTATTTATGGATTTTTTTCCCCATATTTATAAACCAATTTTTGGCTGGGATATGACAGTTTTCATTCATTCTGACTGAAAATATTGAACACTACCGTTTTCAGCCACTAGATGGCAATTCAAGTAGTATGGCATTGCATTGTGTCATGTAATAGAAAAAAGTGGATTTTAATGACACAATCGGCTTGCCATAGCCTCCCACCATCGTCCAGCTCGCCTGGAGCAACTGTCAAATCAGCTTCATTTCGCTGCACCGCCCTGGCGAAATGCAGCTAATTTGACCATTGAAGAGTAAAAGTTCAACTGAGACAAACCTTTACTATAAAGTCGAGCAAACAAATAATTGTTTTAGGTGCTGAACTTGTTAAATTTCGAAGAAATGCACAACATTCCTCCTTCCTGATTTCCTCCCGCTCCAGCACGCTCCTGGAGCACCGAGGCATCGATTACTTTTGAAAATGCAGCTGAATTGACCGTCAAAGTGCATTTATTAAAGAAAAGTTAGACTGAGACACACCTTTGCTATAATTTTGAGTGAACAAATAACTATTTTTAGGTGGTTATCTTGTTAAATTTAGAAGAAATGCACAGCAAGGCTCCCGTGCACGTGCCTATTTCCACGTATTAGCTTTTGAAATGCAGCTGATTTGACTGTCAAAGTGCATTTATTAAAGAAAAGTTAGACTGAGACACCTTTGCTATAATTTCGAGCAAACAAATAATTGTTTTTAAGTGTTAATCTTGTTAAATTCTTGTTGAAGTTCTCCTGTGCATGCTCCTGCGGCCATCATTTGAGAGCTAATCGATTTTTGGCACAACACCGGCCCACATTTCCGGGTTCGGCCCAGATTTCAGGGTTGTCAGCGGTGATGTGTAACAAACGTGATGCGTCAGCGGTGATGCATAATAGATGCGTTGTATACAGTGAAGCAACGTATTTATGGATTTTTCCACTTTATTGGACATATTTGGACTGATGCGACTTAAGGGTGGTACGGCGGAAAATACGGTAAGCTTGAAAAGAAAGACAATTTCCATGAACATTTGTCCTAATTAGGTAACAGGTGAAAGAACTTATGTAAATCAGATATTTCAGCATTTCATTTGTGATAAAATTACACTATTGCTGCCCAAATACAAATATAATTGTGATTTAGACTAACTCTGGCTTTTCTTCACTTGATATCTCACCTTGACAGCAACATGGAGCTTGGCTGTCTTCTTTGAGGATCCAGATGCTTCATAAACGGTGCCGTCCAGGTCCACAGACATGGTGAAGACTGGAGCGTGTACTGGCCCAGACTGGGAGAGCAGGCGATACTGCAGGCCTGGTCGGATCTGGTTCAGACGCATCAGGGCATTCATTGGCTGATTGGAGTCTATGGCTTTATTGTCGAGGACTGTGAAAATATTACAATGAAGAATTTCACAATAAATTATTAAACACACAAAATATCACCATCTGAACTTGAATGGACTGGACAAATTCAGAGGTAATGCCTACAATAAATCACACTTTAATGGTTTTTACTCTAGTCAGCAGTTTGCATGATGAATAAAGATGTCTCTATATTTTATTCCTCATTAAATCACTCTCTTCCTGTTTGTCAATATCTAGAAATGTCTTTTTCCATCCATAAGGTGTTGTTAATCTCCTTGTATATAGAAAGTGCAGTGGAAGGTTGGCTGGCCTGCTAAAATGTTAACAATCAATACTATTGATCTGCCTCCAGGAATGAAACAAAGTAAAAAGCGAAAGAAAATGATTTAAAAAATGAAGAAAAAAGGCAGAAAAGAAGCAAAGCTTGTCAACAAAGTCATCTTCCCTTTTAGAGAGTAAGAATGAAACAAATGTTTGTAAGAAACAATACAAATGTATTCCTTCACTAAGTTCAAATGCCTTTTTTGCTAGTCTAAATATAATCGGAGCCAGTGACCAAAAATGGGACATCTCGCAGTGTTATTCTTTTTATACCTTTTCTGAGATTTCTCTTCATCTTTTTTATGAGGTCTTTGTCATCCATCATCCCATCCTCGTATGGCCTCTTCAGGCCTAAACCTAAAAGAGGACACAAAAACAGAGTTGGGGTTAAAAATCAGAGAGCTGTTGATGTGAATATACACAAAGGCACAAAGGCATGAGACAGGAAGGCAATGCATCGAAAAACAAACAGTATGTGAGAGCGAACTGACAACAGGATGGATAAACTCACAGATGAAATAAACAAAGTTGACAGGCAGACCAGCAAAGACGTACAGTACAAGCTCTTCTTTTATACCAACCTTCATCTGTAAGCGCTTTGGTAATTTTGCATGTCAGCGTTATGAGATATCAAAGCCCAGAGTCATTTTTACATTAGAATCGTTTTGAAAATGAACCGAATCAATTTCTTATGAATCTTCGTCTGAAAGAAGACAAATCAGAACCATTCCTGCACAGCAACTTAACACACACAATTTACTATCATTTCACCAATATCATCGCACTGTGACAAAGGTCAAAAAGAGTACAGACATTTCTTGAAGGAATACATATGACCTCCTGCTTTTTATTGACAGAGTTTTAGACAGAATCATCCTATATTGAAAAAGGAGGGAGATGTAGCTGTTTAAAAAAAAAAAATCATTATACATAATAATATGCCATATTCAGAGATGGAATGCTTAGCATTTTTGTTGAGGACGACTCTTGATTACATCTACACCAAGTTTAGTTCAATATTCACAAAACTAACTGAGTTATAGCCATTTTTGGGTTTTCTAAGGTCAGGTGACTGTGGTAGCCATATTCAAATAGACTATCTTAAAAAAAGGTTTGTAAGCTCAATCATCCGGGTAGATAACAACAAAAATGGTTAAATCATGTCATCTAGTTTCTTTAAGTGAGAAATGTTTCATCCCCCATCCGGAGGACTTTATCAGTCTGCAGCCTGCCAACCAGATCTTTCCCATTCAAGAATCCAAGGTTCTTTATTGTCATTCACATCACATGTGGTACATGAGGTGGAACAAAACTATGTACACAGGGTCCCAGATACATCTAACAAAAATAAAAATTGTAAAGAAAAACAGTAGTAAGATCCAAGACATGAACTAAAAAATACACTAAACTAAGAATACACTAAGCACTAATAGTACAAAGCAATGTGCCAAACAGCAGCAGCACAAACATGAGTCTGTGTGAGCAGATGAGGACGAATGAACACAGCAACATGAAATAAATCAGCAGGATGAGATCAGCATTATGGATAGTCAGCAGCACATATCAACAACCAAGTGGCATTACAGTGACTTTCCACAGTAATTTTCACTGTGATAATCCTGACTAGGGATTCATGAGTCCAACAGCTTCAGGGTTGAAGCTGTTCCTCAGCTTAGTGGTTCTGCACTTACTGCTCCTCAACCTTCTGCCTGAGGGGAGTGAGGCAAAAAGTTTGTGCTGGGGGAGTGGGGTCCTTCATGGTGCAGGCAGCTCTCTTCCTCCTGATGAAGGACCCCACTACCCGTAGGTAACCTTCATTGATGTGTTTCAAGTCAACATCCTGTTGGAATCTCAGAAGTAGGCTTTTAATACTAGCAAAACACAACCATCCAAAACAATCAATCATCAAGTACAACAATGAAATGTCCTAGGCCAAGTGGCCAACTTGCTACTCACAGAAACAGCCTGAAGACAACCAAGGCCAAAGTGGTTTAGAAAAAGTTTTGTAAGCTCAATCATCCAGGTAGATAACAACAAAAACGTTAAATCATGGCATCTGGACCAGTTTCTTTAAGTGAGAAATGTTTCAGGCCACAGACCGATGAAGTCCTCCGGATGGGGGACGGAACTGCTCCCAATGGGCTCACCTGCACCCACAGCTGCAGACGTCTTTTAAAACCTGTGCATTGCAGTCAAAGGCCAACCGCTTCCAGTTTGCCTTGACTGAAAGGGCCTACAGAGCCTCAACTGTTGCTGTTAAGTCATTCAATCTTTCCTCCATGCTCTCTGCAAACCAAGCTGAGCTGTGTGAGAACATAGCCACCAAGCCTGATCCCAATGTGTGGGAGGAAATCACTGTGATCACAGACATATGCCTGCGAACACAATGCTGTGCAGTCCAGGCAACGAGAAAATCAATGGGGATGATGATGTTGCAGGAAAAAGCAAGGTGGCTCATCCTGACCAACCTGTCAGACAGAGAAAAAGAGGACATCCTGGACATGTCGATCATGCGTCTCTGCTTTAGACTCCATGTAGCAGCGGTGTGAGGGGGGATTCGCCCTATCCTGGATCTGAGGGCTTTGAGTGGGGATCTCAGGAAATACAAATTCAGAATTCTCACACATGCATCCATTCTGTGTCTGGTGTGCCAAGGCACTTGGTTCACTTCTATTGACCTGAGAGATGGGCATTTCTACAGAGTGGTGTATCCACCGCACAAGAAATATCTGAGAATTGCTTTTCAGTGTACCCGTTACGAATACACAGTGCGCCCCTTTGGTCTGTCCTTGAGCCCGAGGGTGTTTGTGCAGTGTACCAAAGCAGTAATAGCCTCTGAGAAAGTGGGCATCCAGTTGGCCATCTATTTGGAAGACAGGCTCATTTTGACAAGATCGGAGCGGAAGGATGTGACCCACACACAGATGTTTCTTCAGCACATATTTGATATGGGTTTAGTGATAAAGCACAAGAAAAGCATATTTTCCCCAGTGCAGAATTCTGTTTTTCTAGAAATGGTGCTAGACTCTGCATTGTTCACCGCCTGCCTTTCAGTGGACAGAGTGGACACAGTGAGATCCTACTTGGTATTGTTCTGCTTGCACAGATCAGTTCTTTTCAGGCTGTGCCTTTGGCTGATGGGAATGGCAGCTTCAGTCATCCTAGCGGTTCCACTTGGCTGTCTGCATATAAGGGATTTTCAGTGCAGGTAGTCGTGCTCAGGTTACACCCAACGCATCATGGCACATGGAGAGTGATGGTCACAGCGGAGTGCATTCTGGCACTGCACCCATGGTGCTGTCAGACTTTTCTGGTGCAAGAGGTGCCCTTAAACCCCACTGTGTCACAGAAAGTGGTCATGACAAATGCAATTCTGTCAGGTTGGGGAAGAATTTATATGGGCTGGTGCATTAGAGGTCTCTGATGCCAGGACCTCCAGCAGTTCCACATAAATTATCTGGTGCTGTTGGTGGTGTTTCTCAATATAAAGCACTTCCTCCTGTTCCTCAGTAAACATGGTGTCCTTGTGAGGACCAACAACACAACTATAGTCGGTTACATCAAACATTAAGGAGGGTTGCAGTGCCTTTGGTTGCACACTGGAATGTAAATTGATTATATGGGGCAGCAGACACCTCCTGTTACTCAGAACTACCCATGTCCAAGAAGCTCTGAACTATGTGGCAGATGTGTTCAGGGAAGCGCCACTATATGAAGATTGAACTCTACATCCAGACATAGTGGAATGGCTGTGGTTCTGCTTAGGGCAGGCAATGGTAGACCTGTCCACCTCCAAGAAGAATGTGCAATTCCTGGTGTTCCATCAAGAACCAATGCATCTGAAGTTATAGGCTCTTGAGTGGTATAATTTAGACATAGCAGAGCAGGGCTTCCTCAGAATTTGATAAATACCATTCAGAGTGCTGGATCCCCTTTACTAGGTCCCTGTGAGAGCAGGGTGTTTGAGGAGTGGCGTTCTGAAATGTTCTCTCTTTTCAATGTATAGTTGGACATATTTTGTCATTTCTATAGGAGCTAATTGACAAACAAAAGGCCTTCTTTACCATTACAGTGTACCTGGCTTCTATCTCAGTGTGCCATGTAGATTTTGAAGGGAAAACAGCCAGCCAAAACCCTTTGGTTGGTCATTTTATGACGGGGGCACATAGGCTTCTTCCTGTTTTCAGGATCCTGGCTCCCCCTTGGCTCCCACTTGGGATCTGGTGGTTGTGTTGGAGGGCCTTTCTAACCCCACGTTTGAGCCTCTGAGTGGAGAAGACTGACCTAAAACATATGTCCTTTAAAACAGTGCTGATGTTGGCTTTGGCATCTGCTAAACGAGTTAGTGATGTCCATGCTTTTTCAGTGCACCCTTCCTGTACCATTTTTAGTCCTGGGATTGACAGGGTGTCACTCCGGGGCAACCTTGAAGTGGTGGGCTCATTTTCACCAATTCATGCAGCCTTTTTACCACCACCTTTTTCTTCACCTGAGAAAATGCGGTTAAACAAGCTTTGTCCAGTCCAGGCTCTGTGTACCTACTTGGATAGGACTAGCAGCTTTGGAGAAGTGATCAGCTCTTTGTGTCCTAGGCAAAACCTCAAAGGGGCAACTCCATCATAAAGCAGCAGCTCTCCCACTGGATTTTGGGAGCAATTGCACTGTATTATACTGTACAAGCCAGGGCCTTCAGGTATCTGTGGATCTACATACCCACTGCAACCATGGCCTGGCTGTGTCCTGGACCCTTTTTAAAGGGATCTCTATTCAGGACATATGTGCAGCAGCAAGCTGGTCCTCACCACTTGCTTTTGCTTGATTCTACAAGATGGACGTCTCTGTGTGGCCTTCGTGGTTTTAATGTCTGGATCTTTTCTGGAACAGAGCAGGCACATTTAAGTACTGGTATTCCTAGAAATAAGCTGTCTGGAAATAAGGGGAGTCTCCATATCCCATAGTGAGACATTGAAACAAATGCTATGAATGAGTATTGTAGGTTACTTGTGTAACCCTAGTTCTCGGAGTAGCATGAGTGAGAAGTCTCACCATACAACACTTCTTGTAGGGACGAAGTGAGAAGTGTTTATTTTGAATGATCCTGCATCATAGTGCAAGCTACTTAAGGGGTAGCTGGCAAAGGTGTCTCAATCACCAGCCAATCAGGATTGGTGTAATAAGACAAGTGCTTCTGAAGAATATGCAGGAGAGGTGCATCTCATCATGAGACATTTTCACTCATTTCATTCAAATGTGTCCAGTGGTTCATTTGATATTTTGTTTGCACATTTTAACTGAATTTAGGTGTTAAAGCATCTTTGTGAGAGAAGAGGAAGATGGGCCCTGCATAGAAAACTGAAAGAATGAGAAGACTGACTGAACTAAAAGATGTGTGAATGAAAGACAGAGACAAACAGAAGTTCACACTGAAGGAAAAAAGCAGAGCAGACAGGCAGGGAGGGAGGGAGGGAGATGGGTACAGACCTTCTTTATCAGACCATGGGTATTTCTGTGATGGTTTATTTGAGGGAAGAGGCTCCATCTCTAACACCTTGTAGATCTGCCCAAATGCCATGAGTCTGAGAGCATGCTGTCAAATGCAAAACACAGCGGACATAAGAAAAACAAAAGACAGCTGAGGATATAAATCCAGTCTAATATAACGGATTTAATGTTAACAGGCTAAACATGTGTGATTTTTGTGTTGCACAATTAAATAAGTAATCCAGAGGTTTAGTGGTGTGCTTTCTCATTATGACAGAGTTTTTTCATTAAATCATCTACGCTCCTACATTTTCTTTTTGTTAAAAATAATGAAGTCTAAATCCCAAAGTGAGAAGGCTTTGGAAATTTATATTTAACTAGAGAAGATGTATCAGGTTAAATATAAAGCAGAGCTATTCACTTTTTAATTGACTCACAAATCATAGTCTTAATACAAAAACAAAATATGCATATTCTTACTTTAACTCAATGTTTTTCAGTTTGATAAATATATCTGTTCTCTCAAGCTGACATATTTTCTGATTTTACAACCTAATGAGAAGCTCTTAAAAGTAAACTTTCTTATAAATCTATACATTAATGTTAATTTACAGGTTTATTACTTCACCCTGGGAACTACAAGATACACAATTTAATGTTCAAACACAACTAAGTTTACATGATGTTCATTCCTGCAGCATATCTCATGAGAAAAGCTCTAATTTAACCACTCTCCCTTGAAAGCAGCCCCCACAGAAAAGCTCAGTTCTCTCTGATTAACAAGTTGGCCTGGTGAAAATGAGGAAACGCTGATTATGTTTGGTAACCATGATTATCAGAGCTGTCTGCTGAGAGCTACCGGCTGCTAACGAAACCCCAGAGTTCTGCCTTACAAGCCTAAACCACATCTGAATGCAGAGAAAGGAATACTCCTGCTTGGCTTGCATATTGGTTTTGCATGTTGCATTCCATGTTTTTGTCTTGAACCTTTTTTGAATTTGCATATTGGTTCTTACAGCACTTCTGTAACATTTTGCAAAAAGCCAAGTCATACAAAATTTAGTTGAAACAGGTCTTATGAATAGATAAAAGCAGATTGGAAGGCTGCTGCTATTTCCAAGTAGCAGTAGTTGTAGCTGCTGGTAGGACTTTGTACTAATGTATTAAATAGTAATACAAAAAAAAGTAATTGGAAGAAAAGCTTGGTAACAAACAGAGCACTTCAGGCAGTCCAGAAAATGGTTTTGGTGGAACAAAGTGATGCTTTTTATGCTTTTTACATTTTCAGAAGTTATAAATAGACAAAACACAATTTTATATATATATATATTAATTCTGGTTTTCATTAAATTTGTGGAAAAGCTGCTGTGTTCAAATAAGACAAAGCATGTCAAAATAGCGGCTTTAAGCTTTAATAATCAAGCTCATCTTTTGCCATTCATGTTCACACTTCTACAAATAAAGGTGTAAATGCACAAAAGCTACTATTTTATAGTGGAAAAAACTTTATTCAAAATGGCAAGCCAGTTTTTTTTTTCCAGATTTAAATAAATGATCAACAGATAAAGTGATGAGTGGCTTAAAGATAATTATTTTTGTGTTGAGGAATGAGCTTAACGATAACCAAATGGCGCACAGTGGCTCTGTTAAATTAAATCCATTAGGGAGGCAGAAGGTGTCGGATATTCATGACGCCTGGTGTAGCTCATTGACAGAGCAGCTCCTTCACTCCTATCTGCTCCTGTATCTGCCTCAATACAATTATCCCCATTGACATTCCAGCCTCGTTCAGGCTGCCTTCAAAGGAAATGGACGGCAGGATTCACTAAGCCATGCGGCTCAGAGACTGCCCTGCTCAGTCAAGTGTGCGTATGAAAGTGTGTGTGTGTGTGTGTGTAGACGAGCTGAGAGTACAAGCGCGTGCACAACCACCACGCTCATGGTGTCAGAGATGGATTTATAGCCACAATGGCAATAGCTTCCCACACCAATCTTTAAAATGCAGCACCACACAGCGCTTAGAGCAGAAGCATGAACACACAAAATTGTGTGTGCGCGTGTGTGTGAGCAAAGTGTGCTGTTGGGTTGGTGGTGAGGTCTTCTTTTCTGGTAATTGTCGTGTTGCCCATTTATTTCCGGTGTGACAGCTCCGGGTGAGGAAGACTGGGGATAACAATGGTGTCTAAAAGGTGTGCGTTGTGTGTGTGCATGTATGTGTACCTGTGCTGCATAGGTGATAGCCTCAGCCTGCTGGTCGGTCATGTCGGTGAGGGTATCTGTGGGCTCTTTCTCACAGGGGTCATGTAAACCCGGACCACCTGGATGGAGTTACAGAGAATGAACAATACACAAAGTCATTTCTTGTTACTTTTTTGTTTTGCAACTAAACAACATGCAATTATTCTGAAGTCTTAAGAGACAGTGGGACTTTTGATCATTCATAGTTACATTTTGTTAAATGTCAGTGCTTTCAACAGTAAGAGCAAATATGTCGAATGTGCCAAATGTTATGTCTGGAGGGACTTCAAAACTAAATTAATCAAGTAAATAAAATTAAATTTAGCATTATGTGAAGACGTTTCCCTAAAGGATGCACAACACTTTGCAAAGCTGCGCCCAATTAAAATCCTTTCCAAACGATGACCTGCCTCAGGCAGCAACAAGGCTGCTGGTAATGCGTTGACCTTCACAGCTTATAAATGTGCCAAAATACCTGCTCATCTCTCCAAACTGAACCCACTCATTAGCTGTATTCATCAACAAGGCTAACGCTATGAAAGAAAATGCACATCGTTTGACTGTAAAACTTTGCTTTGATACCTGGGAGGAGAATGCCTGAAGCGAAACATTCCATGACTCGACGCAGAGCTTCTCCTGCCCCGAGAGGTCTGTTACAGGTAGCAATGGCCTTCTCACATATGAGTTCTAATGGCTGCGAGAAACAGTTTACATAAAAAAGGTTAATGGGTTTTAGTACAAAAGTTGTGTGCAAAACCAGAAAAAAATTAATTTTGTAAAGGTTGGGATGTTATTTAAAATAAAACCCCATAAATCCATATTTTATTCACAATTTATCATAATAAACATATCAAATGTTTAAACTATGAAACTGTACTTTAACAAAATATATTTGAATTTTTATGGCAACAATATATCTTAAATAAAGTTGGAACAGGGGAAATGGAAGGCTGTAAAAGTTAGTGGTATTCATATGAAACAGCAGGTAGAGCACTTTGCAACTAATTATTAATTGTCAATATGTCGGTAAGAGGACTGAGTATATGCAGAATTTTAAAGAGGCTGAACCTACAATGATCTACAGTTCATAATATTATCAAAAAAAATTCAAGAACCTGGAAAGAGCCGTGTGCAAAGATCAAGATTGAATGTCAATTTTGGATGTTCATGAACTTCAGACCCTCAGGCACCACATTAAAAACAGGTCTGATTCTATTCTGGACATCAATGCATGGCTCAAGAAAACTTTCATAGATCCTTATCGTAAACAAAATTTGTTGTGCCATCCATAAATGCAGGTTAAAGCTCTATCATACAAAAACAAAACCATATGTGAACACCATCGAACATTGTTGCCATTTTCTCAGGGTCCAAGCTTTGTAAAAATAGACTGAGGAAAGTGGAAAACTGGTCTGTGGTCAGATGAAACAAAATTTGAAATTCTTTTTGGAAAACAATAGACTCCAAGCCCTCCGTACTAAAGAGGAGAGAGACCATGCAGCCTCCTATTAGTGCACACTTCAAAAGCCTGCCTCTCTGATAGTGCCTGTCTCCATTTTTATTTACATCTTACACAACTTGCAAACTTTTTTGGAGTTAGGGTTGTATGTTTGCTAGCACAAATGCAACTAGCACATTAAAACACAATTTCGGTAATATATGTATTATTTTCTTAAAAAGGGTTCCGTTGCACATGCAAAATTGATTTAAACAAAAACAAGAAATACAGTAGGTCAGTATAATATAGAAAGCTTAATTTATTTATTTTTAGCTAATGAGTTACACTTAAATACCATAATTAAAAAGAATAGTGAAGTATATATATATATATAAAAAAATTAAACTCTAGATAAAAAAGTAGCCAAAACAACAAAAAATCTAAACATCCAAGACTTTGTCTGCAAAACAATAAATAAATAAAATAGTATGATGAACTTATTTTGATATATACCAGTATAAAATAAGTTCAAAAAGTTGTAAATAAATTTGGAGACAGGCATTAATGCACCCCCATCAGAGAGGCAGGCTTTTGAACTGTTCACGTACAGTAGTCCCTCGTTTATCGCGGGGAATCCGTACCATGAAGCCTCGCAAAAAGTGAAAAACGGCGAAGTAGGAATGGTAGTACAAGTAGTAAGTAGTAGTTTATTTTAGTATATATATATACACAGGTATATTTTAAGGCATTTTAAACCCTTCCCACACTCTTGCAATATTCTAAATGTTTCTAAACTCTAAATGCTCTAAAAGAGCACAGCATGTCATGAAATCAGCAGCTCTCTGCCTCCAGATGCTCTCTGCCATCTGCCAGCACTCTTGGCCACGCCCACTTCTCTGCTGCAGAGCGGAGCTATGAAACGCTGCAAGAGGAAGCTTCTCCTGCAGCTGTGGGCTGCACACAGGTGCAGCAGGTGCTAAATAATTTAAAATAATTTATTTTAAATAAAAAAATGCAGGCCAATCGTGCAGCTCATCCATCAATCAGCCAATTGTGTGTCATGTCCAATCTTATTTTGAAAAACCGCGATAGAGCGAGTCCGCAAAAAAACGAGCCGCGAAGTAGCGAGGGACTACTGTATTGTAAAATATATAAGACTGTGTATGATGTAAATGCTCAAAGGGGATGAACACATAAAACGACAAGTCAAAAAAGACTCACCCATCCCTTGAGAGGTTCCCAAACAGGGTGTCTGTTGCACATGTCTCTAAGTATCCTGAGAACGATAACACAGGACTTAAGTCCGTTCACCCGAGCCTGAGAGAAGGAGGAATATAGAGAGGAAGATGGAGGATGGCATGAAGAAAAATAAGAGAAGAAGAAAGGGAGCAAAATGAGCGAAGGAGCTGAGGCACACACTATTACAGTGATACAGTAATAATAAAATGACTTTCTAAATGTCCACATCCCCACATACAGGAAATATCCAAGTTGACTTGTTTACAGTGCTTTTACTTATTGTCAGTAAGATGCGTTGAAAGATAGATAGAAAGATAGATGGGGAACAGTATGGGAGGGGTATCAAAGTGAAGCATCGACATACTATAAAAAGCAGGCAGGTTCACACAATGGCCAAAAAGAAGTAAAAAATAAAAAATAGGTGTAAACGACTGCTTTTGTAGCCTTACGATACTTTTTTTTAACTTGCTGTCCCAGTTCATGTTAATAAACACGCAATAAAAACAAAGTTTAAAAGAATGAAAGAGCATTTTGAGAAGTGATGTGCCAAATCAGTACTTTTTTTTCTGTTACATTGTATTTCTGTTGTAATTAAAGTTAAAAAGTGTAACATTACGCCTTCAAGAAACTGAGTGGTATCATGATAATCATGGCACAACAAGCAGACAATGGCTGCGTGCTCTCGGGGTAAATCGTCAGGCTACAATAAGCACCAGGCACGAAGACAGGAAGTGAGTGGGTGCCGACCTGAAACCATTTGGCGTGTCGCAGCGCTGCCAGGGCCAACAGACATCTGTGTCTATCCAGCACCTCCCCCTCCTCCTCAGCCTCCACTCTCTGCGCAGCAGCACCCAACACTGCCACAAAACAACAACAACCCAGTATAGAGAACGTAAAACACACACATCACATCCGAGTGTGTGTGTTTGAAGATTTGCATGTGTGTGATTGTATCCAAACATGCTCAAAAGTGTGCATGAAAGCATACATGCACACGCACACACAGATATACACACGTGCATTGATATACTTTTGGTACATACGAGGTGCTTTTCATTCCATAAAGTTGAACTCTCCTCAGAAGAAATGCTCACTCTGCACAGTTCACAGATCTGTAATGAATGCTTTTAATGTGTTACTTGTCAAATTGTGTGACTTTTTCATATTCAACTGCATCCGCAGTTTCAATTAGTGGTTTACATTCATCCAGTAGCTGGCAAATCAGTGAAAGTGAGAGCAACCAGTGTCACAAGAAAAGAAGCAACTTTGTGGGATGGAGAGCTCTCCAAAGACGAACACTAAACAAATACCTAATGAGCGTTTGATCTACTGCATGGTGGGCGCTGCAGGGGCCGGTTGTTGCATTGTGCCCAGCACAGTAAATCAATCTCTCCTTTATGTATTTGAAAAGAATTTTGAATCAGTCTGCACCAGGCAGGAGTCAAAATAGGAGCTTGTTTTCTTTTATTGTATCTGGATTACTTAAGGTGCACTTGATTTCACAGGCTAATAAAGCAAATGTTGCAAAGAAGGCCGCACAACAACTTCTCAGAACAAAAACAGAATCAAGCGCTCCTAAAGTAGAAAATAATTAAGAATTTAAAATAAAATAAAAATCTAAGATTGTTTGAACTGATTTGTACAGTGGCCCAGAGGTGAAGAAGAGCAACATTTGAAAAAACAGAATTACATTTGAAAAAAAAAACCCAAAAAAAACAGAATTACATTTCAAAAAACGCAACAAAAACAACATTTGAAAAAATGAAATTACATCTGGAAAAAATTAATAAAAGACAGAATTACATTAAGCCAAAGCTGAAGTGGCCAAAGCTGAAGTGGCCAAAGCGGAAGTGGTCAAAGCGGAAGTGGCCAAAGCGGAAGTGGCCGGAATCAAATGTGAAAAAATGGAATTACATTTGAAATAACGAAAATACAAGCAAAGCAAAACCAGAAGTGGTGGGGTTTCCCCCCCCCCCCAGTTTTTTTTTTCAAATGTAATTCCGTTTTTTCAAATGTGATTCTGGCCACTTCCGCTTTGGCCACTTTCGCTTTGACCACTTCCACTTTGGCTTAATGTAATTACATTTTTTTCAAATGTGATTCCAGCCACTTCCGCTTTGGCCACTTCCGCTTTGACCACTTCCGCTTTGGCTTAATGTAATTCTGTTTTTTCATATGCAATTCTGTTTATTCAAATGTTGTGTTTTTGTTGGGGGTTTTTTTTGTGTTTTTTTTTTTTTTTTGCAATTCTGTTTTTTCAAATGTTGTTCATTTACACCTCAGGGCCACCATAGATTTGAGACAAACACAGCACAGTAGGGATCAAGGCAGGGTTTAGTCAAAGCAGTGTGGTCGATAAAAGAAGAGCATTCTGGTATAGTTGTACTTTTATATGAGCGCGTTTGATTCGTGCCGCCCAACTTAACAGGCTCGTTTCTTGACTGTTCTACAGCTCGGAAATCGATATTTAGACTATCTGGCAGGCTGAATCAAACGCGGTCTTATGAATGATTGAGGTTACATGGAGTTTCCACAGATGGTTTATTGATCATCAAATAAACCATGCTGAAGAACTATTTGGATCTCTGGAAACACAATGGGGGAATATTTTTCTTATCACTTTCAGGTAAAAAAATATTTTCAATATGAGTCAGCTGTAATTTCAGATGAGTCAAATGTATATTTATCTGACCCTATCCTTGAAATTTATTCCAGTTTGTAGCAGAAAGTGTGAATCCTAAGTCTGTCAGAGTGGCCCCAGCTGCATGTGGGACTGCTCTGCTGCCAGTGGATCATTATAATCTTTCTGCTGAAGCTTGTCCTCCCACAGTTCTTGCAAACTCTCAGCTGGCTGCTTCCTCTTTCATCATCAGCACCTACGGCGTTCCTGGTGCCCTCCTGTCCCTCATTCTCATTAAAAAGAATCCCCTTTGCAATTAAGTGTCCTCTAATTTTCTGTATCTTCCCACCACAGTGACCAAACGAAGCATGTTAGCTCTAATGGTGCAGAAGGAGACGAGTTTTATTCAACAGTACTGTCATATTAGTGCACAACTTCAAACCCATAGTCTCAAGTTATTTCCAAGTGAAGAAAAACGGCCATTTTAGATTAACTACCCGGAATTAGTTGGGGGATGTATCCCTCTTACAGCATGAAAACTATATAGCTCACAGAAGCTGAAGGTTTCTAAGTCTTTCTCACATATTTTAACTCTATGAAATGTTATTAGTTGGGGAAAATTTTAGATCTTATCTGAGAGATTAGCTCAAGTATGACAGATGCGTTCATCAGTCAGCTACAAAAATATGATCCTGTGTGTGCGTTCTCTTTGTGACAGAACGTACGTCTCGGCGTGCATGCGAGAGAAAATACGAGCTGCTTCGTCTCGCTGAGGCCTGAGGAATGATGTACAGCTAACCTTCGTGCTATCTCTCATCTGTCTCAGAGGGGTGAGTGTCTAGTTGGACGGGAGCCACAGGATGGATGGGCAGCTTGCTGCTTCTCTGTTATTGATTTCACCGGCCTGCTGGCCTTGCTTTCCCAAGCTACCAACAAACTAATTATAACCAGTCTCTGCAAGGCACGAAAACAAAGGGGAAGGGGGAGGATTGTTAGCAGACCAAACACCAGACGATTCCTCTGCGTGTTAACTCTGGCATGTGTCCTGAACTTAACGCCCTGTAAAATGTTCAACTTTCACGACAGCTGAGGTTGTTAGGTAGCATTTCCATATATTTATTATGCTACACGAAGCAGTTAGCTGACAGACCGGTGGTCTGCTGGTGTTCTAATCTAACGCATCTCCTTCAGAGCCGCTTACCACAGACACTTCAACAGCAAGAGATCCTCAAGTCGCAAAACACTTCTGACCTCAGTGGTTTCTCTTCACTGTTGGAGTTGGACTTTTAAGCTTCGCTGCATTTAGTGGAGCACACTGCAGCGCAGCCACACACAGGTCTGAGGTCAGCACACGAGAGAACTGAGCTAACAGCAAACTGACAGGAAGCAGCCTCTCCTGTGTTAACTTCTTTGACTGAAACCACTTAGACTGGGCGAACTCATGACTGGTTTCTGGTTGTTTGGAAAATCAAAACAAAGTTTTATCCAACGTTGAGGACAAAGTAACATGCTGGTACATTTTGTCTTTACTCCGTCATCAATTTATTTGACAATTAATTATTTAAAGCAAAGAAAAACAATCAAAATATAGTGATTGCCTGATGTTAAAGTCTGTTTCGGTCAGTTTCTGTATGCATTTATTTGTAGTATTAGCAAAATACGTCATGAACCACATTTAAGCTGACCACAGTAAAGCAACCAAATCAAACACAAAGATGGCTCCAACTCAATCGGCTTTACAGATACGGAGCTAAAATTAGGTATGGGAGTAGCTGATGAGCACTAATGGATCACACATGGTTTGTTTTTAAAACTTTGCTAACTACTATAGTCAAATATGTCTGTTACCAAAATATTTAATGAACTGAATACATTTCAATAAAACTCTCAAAAAGTAATCATTGGATGAACACCTACGGCTGATTGTCTTCTTGAGTCAATCTAAATTGAAATGGCCACCACAGAGGATCAACCTTAACAAACACAGAAACAGCTATAACTCAACTCAGCTTTTCAGGTTTTGAGCTAAATTTTGTAACTTGTAGCTGAGAATCATTCTCAACACATACTCAGAGAGCCAGCAGATCTCGTGAGTTCCCACAACATATTGCCTGATTAATTAGTATTATTTACAAGGTTTGACCAAGACTAGTACAACTGTTATTTTTCAACATAAAGATAGTCGAGTACTCTGAGATGAACCAAGGTGGGTGATGTGCAAGCCTTCAGGAAATGCTGGACCTTTAATTTTAAAAAGGTTTTTACTCGTCAGTGACCTTAAAAGAGTAAAATATGTAAGAAATATTTTAAGGAAGTAAATGTTTCAGCAGCTTAGAAGAAATCCTCCACAGTACTTATCTTTGGTTACCACAGTTACAAAGCACTTTTGAGTTGCTTGCACAAAATGCCAAGTTCTTTCGATTACTACAAAGTTTCTCCACATGTTTGGTGTTGGTTTGCTTCACTGTTTTAATAAAAAGCATAACTCTGACTTTAAATTCTTAATTATGTCAAGTAGAGATGCACGATATTGAATTTTTGGCCGATATCCAATATGCCAATATGTTAAAACTTATTTGGCCGATAACCAATACCGATACCAATATTTTTCCCCTAGACCTTCTTACATAGACTATATATAGCTTTCTCTGCTGTGGAGTTAAAATACTACATTATTCTATATGGTATTTTGTCAGTTTGGCCTGTTACCAAATGCAGATGCCAAAAAGGGGCTGAAAATGATGTAACACTTCAATTTGGATTATGTTTAGTGTCAAATTTAAATGTCAAATGTTATGCCATATATAT